AATTTCATAGCTAGATCATTGTAGACACCCCATTTAGTCTGAGGTTAATTATTTATTTTAGGATTAAATGTTTAGATTATTTTTATTGTTATTTTTCATTTTATTTGAGTAGTTTGATTAATTAAAAATAATAAAAAAATTGATCGAGAATGAAATTGGGAGGTTTAATTGAAAGTTCAATTGATAAAGAAATGTACTTAGGAAAAAGGACCAAAAAAAAGACTTTGAGTAAAAATTCAAATTGAGTTTGATTAAGAGATTGGCACCAAAAAAACTTTCTCCTATTATGATTTGAATTAAAGGCCTATAAAAAGACTTTATTGTAATTCGTAAGGGAGGATCAGAAACAATAAAAAAAGATCAAAGAAAAAAGCAAGAAAAATTCTGGCAATAATTTTTTTTTTTAGGTTTTGATTTTGTTGAGTTCTCAAAATCTCTTTTTGGTTTCAAGTTGAAATTTTTTGTAGAATTCAAAAAGGGTTTAGGCAACAATCAATGGCAAGAGGTGGGGTAGTAAGTAACCAGCTGTTGGATTTTGGAAAAAGAAAGGGGGTTGTTGGTTGGAAGCATAAAAATGGGAAAAAAGCTTGAGGCTTCTAAGAGAATGGAGAAGCCAAAAAGTGGAGGCCATTTGTTTGATTTAAAAGCTTTGGGTTTTACCCAAATTTTGGTAATTACTTTTTTTGGTTTTTTTGTTTTATTAGTTGCTTATATATTTATTTATTTACTTATTTATGTCACATGTTAGAATATCTAAATTAGGAATATATTTATAGATTATTTGAAAGTAAGTAAAAAGTGAAAATTTTAATTTTTGAAAATAAATGAAAATTCATCCAATGATGAAATTTTAAAAAAGTTATGGGTGTGTAATTTTCTTAAAAATTTTTAGGTGAGAGAACTCTTTCTAGATTCGATCAAGGTGTTGGAAGATTTAGAAATGGTCTTAACATAATAATTTTTATTTATTTCTAATTTGAAATCTTAAAATTAGGAACAAATTTGGATGATTTTATGATTGATTAAATTGTGATCACATATATTAAATTTTGTATTTAATTATTATATTTAATTATTATTTGATTATGTACATTACTATGTATTTTTTCATAAAATATTTAATAAATATGATGATGGAGCCTTTTCAAGCAAACAAATGTATTACTTGAATACTCTTGAGGTAAGTAATATTTTTAAAAGGTTTACTAAAGTGTTGGAGAAAACCTAAAAATATGTCCAATATTAAAATATTAAACTAACAAAAATAATGAATAATAAATTAAGAATAAGTTAAGACCATTTGAATTAAAGTTAAAGAAATAATTTAAGATTAATTGATATCAATTTATGGGCATTGTAAGAGTGTTATAACATTTTCTACATGTAACTAAACTCTCAAACTCAATTTTATTTAAAAGACTAGAACGTATTCTTTTTAGGGACCTTTAGTTTAAGCTTGGATACTTTTAAAATGATATATTCACATAAGTGACCAATCACAACTAGATAAAAAGATTGGTGGTGACTTCATGTTTTGTGTCCAATGGATTTGTTTTAGGATCTATCTACATTATGACAATCATCAAATGCAACTTGTAATTTTATCAAAAGTATAGGACCTTGAATCACAAAGTGAAAAATTTACCTTAGGCTCTTCAAGAGCCATAAAGCATGAAACATGTTGGTTTGAGGAGTAGCTTGCACTTGGTTCATTTTTTTTTTTTTTGTTTTCCTATACATCTCTTCAAGCCTATCTCATATCTCTTAAGAGGTTCAGCAATTTGAGACTCTGTTAAAGTTATAGGAGTGTAGAGCTTCATATAGAAAGCACTTGGCTTTGGTATCATCTAATATTTGTTTCATATACTTTACATCTTTGAAGGAGTTCTAAGCCCTCTTTCTACCATAAACTATGCTCTAATATAATGAGCCATTATGAACATCCTTATTCTCATTTTCCATTCCAATAGCTCATATTTATCAAATATTAGAACTTTTAGGATTTTCTCACCATAATGAAAACTACATTTTGCCATAGGATTTTTTTACTCAAAGTTGTTAGACCTTTAAAAGAGACTACAAGCTTTGATACCAATTGTTAGTTAAAGTGTATATAATAATCCAAAAGGGAGTGAATTAGATTGTCTCCAAATTCTTTCCCAAAATTAACTTTCAATGAATTAGAATGAGATATTTAAAACAATAGTTTTTTTTAATTAAAATTTGATAAGATTAATAATAAAAAAAATTAAAGCACATATAAACAAGAATAAAAATAAAAAATAGGGATAAAGAAATCAAACCCTAAAATGTATAAAGGTTTGGTCATTCTCCAAAGATACTTATGTCCTTTCTCTTAGGTTTCATAGCCAAGATCAATCTACTAATAGCAAAATTTCTTACAAAACCAAATTCTTATATTTTAAGGTCAAAATAGCAACCTCTATCCTTTATAAGATTCTACGAAATCCTATCAATTTCACTTAAAATGATACCTTATTCCTTAATTTAAAAATCCCTTTTAAACACAATAGAATTTGCAAACTATGAAATACATCTCAAAGCTTGATTGTTTGCCTAATTTAAGTATAAAGAATGATAAATAAAGAAAAATTATAACTTATATACAAGAATGAAAAGAATTAAAGCTTTAATCTTTAAAATACTCTTGAATTCTTGAAAGAATGAATGTAAAGCTTGTTAGAGCTTGCTCTCATACTTCACAAGTGTGTTAAAATATCCAATTTATAAAAGAAATGAGTTTGTAGCCATTGAAGAAGATTGGAAAATAAAAATACATGTTTTCTTCCTTTCAAAGTAGCAGTTAGAAGCTGTCAAAAGCGATGAGATTGTTTAAGTCTATTAGAGGATCAATTTATTCTTAAATTTTATTTAAATTTTAATCATTGCAGAAGAATGAATCGATCCACTTTTGTAGGGGATCGATCCGCTTTTAGAATGGATCAATCCATTTTATAGGGGATTAATACATTTTTACAAAATTTGTTTAAGAGACATTTTGTAAGAATAGTGTATCGACTACCTTCAAATAAATCTTTTTTTGCACTCTACTTACTAATTTAAACATATCTTGAGTTATATAATTCTAAATTAAGATCTGTTTGAAGATTTGAAAACTATACTTAAGGGACGTTCTATCCATATAAAATTTATTATCTAATTCAATGTATAAAAATTATAGTGAATTTTCAAAACTATCCTTTATGCTGTAGTTTAATAATTGCATAGTCTCTAGTAAAAATTCAAAATCATTTCTTAAAAAATTTAGATTTAGATTTTGTTTACTTCATTATAAAGTAGACTTAAAAAGTTTTTCATCCAAATCAAGATTTGTTTGAAGATTTAGAAACTATACTTAAGGGGCTTTCTATCCATACAAAATTTATCATCTCATTCAATGTATAAAAATTATAATGAATTTTTAAAACTAACCTTTATGCTGTAGTTTAATAATTACATAGTCTCTAGTAAAAATTCAAAATCATTTCTTAGAAAATTTAGGTTTAGATTTTATTTGCTCCATTAGACAATAGACTCAAAGAGTTTTTCATCCATATAAAATTCAAATATTAAAATTTTGTAAAGTAATATAAAAAATAAAACAAATTCAATGTTAGGATACTTTGATCTCACAAAACAACTTTCTCAAGTTAATTCATTTCTTAAAACTAATATTATCAAAATTATATTTTGTCCAAGATGAATAATTTCACTTTAAAAAATAATAATTGGACTTTCATTTAAACTCAAATAAATAATATTTAAAAATAGTTTTGGTTTAAGAAATATAAAACATAAAAAAATGTTTGTTTAAACTTTGAAAAATATTTTACAAAGAATTGTTAATCTTGAAAATTTTTATTTTTGATATAAATATTAAGATCAATATTTGAAAATAATTTTTCAAGATATTTTTCAAATCAAATAGCACTTTGAAAACATATTATTTACTTAGAATCAAATATAATAAAACTTAAGAAGAAGTACTAAATAAATTTTAATCAAGTTTGTTTAGTTTTAATGTTTTGTTATTTCAAAATAAAAATCAATTTAAAACTAACATATATTTTTATTTTTCAAACTAATATTCCTTATAACAAATAAAAAAATAATTTAAAAAATAATTTGTGTGCTTTATTTTAACTTTTTTAATGTTATATAGTATAGTCTTCTTTTATTGTGATTTAATAAATTAGTTTTATTTTTTAATTCAAATATTTTTTGCATAATTTATACAATAAAATTTAGCTTATCTATCAACAAGTATATTTTTTAATTTAACAATTTAATTATATTTTATTATAAAATAAATAAAATATTATTAATATTTTATAAATTATTATTTTTAAACAACATTAAAATCATTAACTTATACAATTATTATAATATGCATGATTATTTTGATATTTTAAAACAAAATAATATTTAATTTTAAAAAATACTAAACACCCTGCTTTTTAATTTTAAAAAATTAATAAATGTTAGTCAAACAATATAATTTCAAATCACTAATGATAAAATTATTTTAATAATATAATTATCTTAATGATTAAATTATCATAATAATTTTAAAAATAATATCATACATTGTCGGGAATATTCCACCCTCGTAAATTAAAGAAGTGAAAATTTTCAACTTCATTCTTTTTAGGCCCCAGCTAAGGACATAATCCTCTCAAACCCTTGAACTTTTCTTTTTACACTTCTCCAACCCACAGCTCTCCCTTGATTTTAAAACTCTCTCTCCAACCCTCACGGTTTTCATCGCTATCTCCGCCCATAGAAACCATTGAAAGCAAACCGGCACCCTCCAAAATGAAACTCACTGACAAAAAAAAAATTGTTTGGTTGCCAAGAAAATAGAGTTAAAAGTTTAAATTTTGGCTTCTCTTTCGTCTCTGTAAATTTACCCTTTCCCCAATTGCGTTAAAATTTGTTAAGGATTTCAAGTTTCATTTGGTTCTTGATAAATTTTATTTTTCCACATGTTTTTATGATTTGTGAAGGAAATCCACTCTTTCATTATTAAAACAAGAATCAATTTCAACTGATTGCAAGGTAGCGTACAAACATAGGCGTATTTTATAGGACTGCCTTCGCTGAGCCAGTCTCAGATAATCAAAACCAAAATGACAGGTCTTATAGTATAAAATTAAAGGCGATAGAAAACCACGGAAGAATAAAAATATGACATGCTTGCTTTCAAGGTATCATCACCCTTCCACTTCATTTGACTGGCCTGACTCCAGAACCGGAGGAATACAGTCCACTTTGTATCGAAGGGCCTGTCCAACGAGAGACATGCCAACTTGGTTAGTATTGAATATTGACCCAGAAAACACCCAGTAGAAGTAGCCAACTTACGGTTACTGTAAAAGAAGAGCAGGAACTTGTTGCCAAATTTTTATATAATAGCATTTTTAGGTTCCACATAAAGCTTTAAGGCAATTAAAATATTTTTGGTTACATAATCCATATAGTTATTTGGCTAATTTTCTACTTGATAACGCATATTTGAATGCTAACGAAAATAATATTTTGAATAATTAAAATAAAAAATTTTAACTTTGGTCGATATAATGACAAAATAAATCAATTTTGTTGACTGAACATTAACTCAAGTAACATGCATACTAAACAAACTCAGAGATTGCAGATTGGAGAAAACTTAAACGTGTAATGTCTTCTCTCAGGTGAGTTTAAATAGATACCGGTTGAAAGATTAAAGGGTAGATTAAAAATTAAAAAAAAAAAAAAACAAAATGAATCACTTCGACTTTATCAATGAAACAAATACTTGGCTATATATTAGTCTTTACTGGTTTTTAGTTGAACATATTACTCCAATTGTTGTCATTTGCTTTTCTTTCAAAATTTTTGAGAAAAGAAAAAAAGTATAAGTAATAATCAAAGAGGGCTCCTATTCACACCTTTTTTTTTTTATTAATTTTACAATTTATGATTTTTCAAATAATAATTTTTTTTCATTATACTAATTCATAAAAACTTTTAACAACATTTCCTTTTTTGTAATTTTTTTTATAAAATTTGACTTTTAACACTTTTCGAAAATAAATTTCAAAAAACTTATGAAAAAAGTATTTAAATAATTTCATTTACAAAAAATATAAAAAAAAAGTGAGGTGTGGAAAATTTTGATTGGTGTATTTTGAACCACTCAATCAAATTGGACCTTTGAAAAGTTAATCATACTATAATGATAACAAAATAAAATGAACAACCAAAGCATTACTCGGTAAAGTTATAAGAACCAATGAAGGCTTTGGGAGGCTGTTAAAGAGAAATATAAACCTTGGAGCACCATGAATAGGAAATTAGGAATTGCAAACAAATTCGGTGTGGAGGGGAAGGAGCGATGTTGCTCGTAAAAGGCAGAGTGCCAATGCCAGCTTTAAAGCTTAAAAGTTAAAGTCAACAAGGACCCACCAAAGGTAATATTCAACAGGAAAATACAATTCTCATCAACCAAAATTGCACAAACTATATAGAATGCATCAGCTTTCAGAGGTGATATTGCATAGAAGAGAATCAAGCAGCAAAAAGGTACACTAAGGAGAAACTCAAGAAATCTCAAATACTAGCACCTACCTTCTTGAAAAATGTTGAATATGAATTATCCCAGATGAGTTTGTAGTTTCCGGCCATGCATGTGCTGAAGTTGCCCTATACAAATATAGGGGAGAATTAGAAATGTATCCATGACAGGTAAAACTTAACACTTCATAGCCAAGTAACCCAATAACTTACTTGATCAGACTCATAACGCCTGTAAGGTAATATTAGCTGAAGAATAATCAATGATGCCCCAATGAGCAGAAATTAAAGTAAGAAATATGTAATCATAGAGATTCAAAAGACAGAAAGGAAAAGGAGAGCTAAGGAACCAAAAGAGGGCAAAATCCCCCAAAAAAGGATACAATTGACTGAGGAGAGACAAGAACCAAAGACTGCAACTCAAGAAAATAAATCAGAACATCAGAGAGCAATAAAGGAACTATATTTCTTCAACTTACTGTTTTTTCCCCACCAGTATTTGTGTACTCCACAGTAAATCCAATATCCTGACACCAATAATGTAAAGCTCAACACAATAAAAATGGATACAGCATCTTATTAATTAACATCAAATATAGAATGTTTTTCAATGACACCCAACCAACATACTACTTTATTCGTTCTTGTTTAAAACAGAATAATATTGAATATACCTGGTAGCCTGGTAAACTGAATGATTCATTAAAGGTTCAAGAAGAGAAAATAAAGACAATACCATGTTCATCTTGCCTTGCACCAATGAGAAATCCCAAGCAATATATGAGTTTATTGACTCCACTGTCAATGAAACCTGCAAGGAAATGCAATTTAAGAAGCAAAAAAATTTTTTAAAAAATGAAAAAAGTAATCTTTACAAAATTCTTTGCCTAATAAAAGTTTTTTTAAAAAAATAAAATAAAGAACATTAGTTTAAATACATAAAATTCATTCCTGAAGTTGATTGACTTCCAACAAGTCACAAGCAGTTCTAATTTACAATACTTAGAGTCTACCGAGTGTGTTACACCACCCTCGATAAGAGAAATTGATGCATTATAAATTCAACAAATTCAACTGAGAATTTTGTAAAGAATACAATGCAACATCTGGATGCATGTATTCTTATCATTAATTTCTTCTAGTCACCAGTGTCCCATGGCAGCCCCGGTGACTATTTCCAACACCAAACAATAGTGGTCACAAAAATGTTGACCATTATGATGTATGTAGTCATTGCATGCACAATTTAATTTATTAAATTAACAAATGTATGGCAACAATATAATAGATCCTTGTTGGTTTGAATCAATCTGCAAAGATTAGATTGGAGTGGTTTGTCTACTTAAACTTCAATGGCAGAAAAGCAAATGGCACTCTATGGTGCTGCAAGGAGACAGATAGGTAAGAAATTACTTTGCAGGGGGATTTTGGAATGATTGAACCACTCAGAAGTTACGGAGGGGTGGCCATATCCAACAAGGCAAGTTGGGGGAGCGACAAAAAGAAGAGTGGAGCAACTTATGGAGTACAAAACAGTTCTGCTTTGGTGCAGATTGATTCATGGAATCAATTTTTTAGCTGTGATTAAATGGTATACCTCTCATAATTGTCGACAACGAAGGGTAAATGTTGTATAATGTGAAGAAGGCTTAAAAAAGGAATTACAACTAGTGTATGATGATTATGAAGACAAAGAAGACATTGATGTTTATCCAACTGAAGGAGAGTCATTAGTGGTTCAAAAAGTTATGAAAACAAGAGCAGTTGTAGAAGGCGAAGATTGAAGGCAACATAGCATTTTCAAAACTTGCATTGTTTGCTGCCTGCAACAAAGTGCATGATGCAATTTGTGATAGTGTTGAGCATGGTGGAGATAATGAAGAAGTTAGAGCTGCCCAGTGCCTACAGAGAATCACACTTATGCATGCAGATTAGAGTGGCTTAAAAAGGGAAGTGAGATACAAGAATATCTCCGTGTTGGACCAAATCTTCTTTGAGTAATAATCTACAAGATGGATCCTTGTGTGATGCTCCACCAGTGCATGCTGTTCATATTCTCTGGACCTTGGCTAGTTGACCATTATTATAGAACATCTCATACATCATAGTACTTAATTCATTTTATTGAGGCAACAAATACACCATCACAATAAAGAAGCCAGAGAAAAAAAGAGGCTATCAAGGTAAATGGTTATTTATCAAAGGAGGAATTTTTAGTTAAGCAGAGCTTATGCTTTAGCTAGCAAGTTTCTGCAAAATGACCCAGTGAATTGCCATAACATCCTATTGAAGTTAATAGAAGTTTAAAGAGTTGGTTAGCAAGGAATTCCCATCTATTTTATGAGAAAAAAAAAAAAGATTGCAAAATGCTATTTTGTTCCTTGGGTTTGATTACTGAATCTTCCAGCTTATAGAAAGTCTTTGTTGCAATGAGTACATATGCAAAAGCAAGTTGAGGAGTTGCATATTAAGGAATTTGTAATGGAGAACAATAGTCCTCGTGCTTGTCCAACCTTACTTTCACCTAAGAAGGATGGTTCATGGGGGATATGCATGGGCAGCAGCATATCAAAAAAATTACTATCAAATATAGATTTCCCATTCCTTGTTTGAGTAATATGATTGATTACTTGAATGTTTCTAAAGGGTTCCTAAAATTGAGTGGTGATGAGCAGAAAAAAAGCCTTCAAGAACCCCAATGGGCCTATGGGTTAGTAATGCCATTTGGTCTGTCTAATGCACCAAGCACATTCGTGTGACTTATGACTGAGGTACTAAAGCCTTTCTTCAATTTATTTGCGATTGTGAATTTTAATGACATCTTGATTCATAGTAAATCTAAGGAAGAACACTTGACTTGCCTAAGTCAAGTTTTAGAAGTTCTCCTTATAGAGAAACTCTATATAAACCTGAAGAAAGTGCGCTTTCTTATGCTATGAGGTTGTGTTTTGGGATTCCTGGTCTCAAGATCAACAAATGGATATATCCAGATAAGGTGTGTGCCATTAGAGGGTGGCCAGCACCCGACTCAGACAAAAAATTCAAAGTTTTCAAGGGTTGGGCTCATTGCTCATGAGGAGATTTAGTTCCATTGTAAGTCCTATCATTAAATGCCACAAGAGTGGCCAAATTCAGCACAAAGGGATTTTGAATAGATTGAGTTCTTTTATAACAAAGGCCAGATTTTGATAAGTCAATAGTTTGATTTCAAAGTTAGGGCTATTTTTAGTCAAGATGTGAGCCAGTGAAATTTTTCAATAAGTTGTCAGATACCAAACATTGTTATTTCACCTATGATTTGGAGTGTATGCACTGGTGAGGTGAGAGGTAGACACTATGGGTGGCATCGCTTAGCAACAATTCCTAGAATTTGAGAAAGCAGACAATATACAAGTTGGGCATATGGCATTGAAGACAATTTGTATTTGTCCAAGCAAACAAGGAGTTGATAATCAATAAATTTCATGAAAGCATTTTCATTGGTTTCATACTACCATATGTCATGTGATAGTTAGAATGAAGTTAATTCACAATGTTGATGCTGCACACATTGTATCATGTATGTAATTCATGAAGTTTGGTTGAAACTTTATCTACTTACACATTTCTAAACTCAAGATAGCAGTTCTAGGATTTATTTAACAAGTTTATTGAGTTTTCATGGGTTTTATTGTAATTTTAAGTCTTTAGGATATGTTAGTTAAATTTATATTTTGCATTTATATCATGGTTTAGGACTGGACTTAGCTTAAACCCTTTGCTATTAAAACTTGTAGTTTTGGATTATGAACTATTGAAAGTTATGAATATTGAGTTTGAGTTTTCCCCCTCTATTAATTCTAGGGTTTTCTCTGCCTAGTTCTTTTGTCTTTCAATCCCCTCTATTTCTTCTTTTTTTCCTTTGATTTTCTCTCAAATCTTCTATTCTTTCCCTGTGTTGTTCAATGTCATGTGATAACCCAAGAACTATCAAGCTCTTGCTGTAGTGGTCTATATTTCATTACAGCAAGTTGCTCATCTTTGATACATGAACTCTATACCCGTGTTGACACGTTAAGACACAGGTACGGGTACAGCGGTACAAAATATGTGTCTTATATGGTATTGAAAGTCTAGAGTCAGCTTCTTCAAACAAAGGAGATCCACAAAAAGAGCTAAGGAAAGAGGCAGAAGGTTAGAGGTAGATCGATGGGTGTTTTCCTGTTTGTTTCTCCATGTCTGCTTGATGTGAGCTGGGCTTCTCAGTGCTTAGCTCAAAAAATGGCAATTGGAAGTTTAATCACAAGTTTATTTTCACAGACAGAGGGGGAGGAAAGGCAAGGGTGGGAGGAGTGAAGATTTCGAGTTCAGCATGCTGCACCGTGTTGTGTGGCTATGGTTAGATGTAAGAGGAATGCCAAGAAGATTAGGGCTTTCCATTTTATTCCAACTTGGGTTCAAAATATTCAAGCCCAGAATCCACTCCAAAAGAGCTTTTATACTTTTCTTTAACAAGTGATTACAGCCTAGCCCAAAAAACAAAGGATCCTTTCCTGGGATGTTTTATATCTTTGGACTCTAGCTTGGTTATATAGTCCCATATAACTTGGCCAGTGAATGATATTAGTTATAAAGAATTCAAAGTAAAGAAGAATATTAAAAGAAGAAAAAAGGATTTTCTTTTCTCAGAAGGGAAATTAGAAAATAAATTTTATTTATACAATGAAATTATATTTATATACTTTTCATGAAATTATGATAAGACGCATCCACGTACCCATATACTACTTTTGGACACTTTAACCAATTCCGTGAGTCTAAAAGTTTGAGCAAATGGTGAGTCAAAGACTTAGATACATACATGTATAGGATTCCTATACTTGAGGCCAAGTAACTTAGTCTTCTTATGCAGAATGTCGACAATTACACATGACTCACAAACAGACATGCATTGCTAGCTACCAGCATAGATAGGTCAGGTAATCAAAAATAGTAATGAAACTGCTTTAAGAACAAACCTCATAACTTTTCCCAGCAGGAACAGTTATCTCCACGTATTCATCATTTTTCCTGAAAATTAAAAAAAAAAAAGGAACTATTTGAACTGAAAAAACAGAAGCCAAGCTTAGGCAGCAAATTGGACACTTACCTCATCTCTAACATGCTGGCATCCTCTGCTGAAATAAAGAATGGCGAATTTGCAAAGACCTCACTGATAGATTGATAGATGCATATATAAATAAATAAATAAATAGTTCAATATAGCTGGATAATTCATAGGTAAATAGCGGATACTTTCATGGTTATAAAGAAGAAATAACACCTTATAAAGTTTATGAACCTCTCAAATTCGGAGGTGTATACATCAACAGCTTCTTCGAGCACTGAAATTTGATGCCTATTTCTGAAGAAATGATATGGTAGAAATCAGCCAGAAGGCATTAATACCACAACCAGCCAGATACAATAAAACATAGTTCTTCTCGATATTAATTTATTTCATTATTTTCCACGCAAGTCTAGTTCTCAATTATGTAAATTCACTATGTTAAGAAGCAAATATATATATATATATATATATATATATATATATAGAAAGACTGCAGGATATCTCACAGTTTAAAAGTTTCAAATCGCTGCCATGCAAATGAAAGAAAGAGACGGATAAAAAGCACCATCCTTGTAAGGCTATACAATGGTGGTCCATAGCGTTGCCGTTGCTCTTCCATGGGCCTATTTATAGGAAGATATTATTTTTCATTCAAGCCTTTTGGCAATTTCTAAATAATCACTTCTAACACTTCTAATTATTCTACTAAGCAGACATAACTATTAATGTATCAAAATTGACAGGCTATGTGAAATGAAAAGAGGTTACCCATCATCATCATTTATTTGCCGAATAAAATCCAATAAAACCTGCACAGAGGTTTTGAGAGGAAAAAATGACTTTAGCATACTACCCACAAGCATTTATGCTTAAAAATACAGAATGTTCCAATTTTAATCAAAATTTTCATATGCATCCCAACTTTGCAAGTGCCTATAGACTGTACAGCTCAGGGTCTCTTCTTGAGAAGGAGAAATAAGCAAAGACATCAGCAAGAGAACACTATGATTAGCATAGTTTATCTACATAAGCAATTCTGCACATTAAGTGCTAATGTCACGACTAAGGAAAAGAACAGTAAGCTAGAAAATATTCAGGTGAAGGCTTGAGTAATGTCCCAAGAGCCTTTAGTGCATAAAAAGTAAGGGATTGAAGGTAAATAATTTAAGATTCATAAGAGAATTAAAGGAATGTAATATCACCGCTGAAAACAGGCTAAATTGCATAGTTGAAAGCTGAGAGATAATATAGGACAAGATGTGTGTGAACTAACAGCACAATTCGTTCATAGAATGGAATAGCTATTCCATGGTAATAGAAAAGAGAGTTAGCTATTTCTCAGTTTGGTTCAAAGAATGGGAGTAGAGTAGTAATATTATCATGTTTGGTTAAATGGAATAAGATCAGGGAATATAAAAGGAATTGTACAAAAATAGCATTGTACCCTTCAATTAAAATAATGCTTTTTTAATTATACTGCATCGACTAGGCTGCAGTGGTGACCATATTAGAAATCTAATGTGCTAATCAGTGCTACCAGTGATAAAATCTAGTCACAGTTTGCACTAATCTGGCACATTTGCCATCAGATCTGATCACTGGACATCAGATCAGCAATAGCATTCCTGCAACCAGATCCAGTTGCTAGGGCACAAAATTGGTGGTTGATAACCAGATTAATAGATAGCAATGCTGCCTTGAAAAAATAAAATAAAATACTAAAAAATAAAAGATCAAGGGGAAAATTATCCTAATAAGAGTGTTCCTATTCCCTTGTTCATTTCACAGAAGAGCCATTCCGCGAACCAAACAAAGAACTACTCTTCAACTTATCAATTCTGTCCCAACAAACAGGCTGTAACAATCTAAAAGATGCCAAAGAGGATGACAATAGAACAGGGCTACGAAGACCAACCTGCGAAACTCCAACCAAGTACTTTACAAGGGTTTTATAGACACCTGTTGCAGAACCAAGTTGCGCTAGCTGTCTCCTTCTGATATGGTATTGCATAACCACAGCATTAGACTCTTCATGCGCTATACAATTAAAACTTGCAAAAGGAATACAAAGGAGGCTCACCGATCCATTTGTTGCTTCCACAGCAAAGCATATCGATCACGTATGCTTCCACCAGAACTAACCAGAGCGTCTACCTCTGCTTGCTTATTCCTCTCTGATCTCTCCTTTTGTTGTCTGATGAGTGTTCCTCGAAAATCTTGAGGCATGTAGGTCATAACTGGAATGCATAGAAAATTTAATTAGTTGATCATAAGATATCTCCAAAACCATAAAAGCTACAAAAGTAACATCGGATAGGTAAACAAGACAAATACTTGTATGCAATGCACACTGTTTAATAAAAATGAGTTTCCCTCTTGCCAAACATAGAAAACCCCTGAAGGTGTGAAGATATATAGTTCACCTTGATTTGTAAAGCAATTGGATATAAAATATAAAAATAAATAAATAAATAAACCAAGCAGTCAAGTTATCAAGGGGGTGTCAACCCCTTGACATAGCTAAAATTGTGAGTACCAAATATCAATGTCCAAGCATCTTGCACATTCAATAAATGCTGCTTATTAAACCAAAAAAAAAAAGTATTAAACCACATATCTAGGAGCTTTCATGAGGGCATTTAGACACCCTCAAAAACCACTCTTTTGCATTCCAGCCACAAAACCAAAATACAAAAATAGAAAAAATCAAGCAAAAGAATGATCGTATTTTCGTGTTCAGAAACCAATATTCAACTTGGTTTGAATCTTCCTTGAAATAGAAGCAAATGCAATTTTCCAGACTCCTGAAGCTCATCTTCCAAGGCAATGTAAAACTAAAAATGGAGGAACAAGCATTTAGATGGCCCTCCTTTTTGCCAGCCAACAAAAACAGATCTGGAAAAAAGTCCTTCATAGGCACTATAACCCTAAACCCTCATAACAAAAGAAAGAGAACTTCCACACCCTACATCAGAAGAAACATGAATAGCAAATTAATTCCATCCCTAATCCACTTCCAGACAATCACAACCCTTCTAGGAATCCACACACAATCAGCAAGTTTATGTATATTAGTCAGTTTGACAGAATTTTCAATTTTGACTGCCTAATATTAAACCTTAGAAGAACATAAATGTGAAATATAACCATTCCTTGTGATGCTTCAAGGACAAAAGTTTTCCTAAGATGATGATTGAATTGAACTCATCTTGCACATACACTAGCTTTTAAATGAAAAATAAAAAATAAAAGTATCATAAAAAAATCCAGCTGTCTAAACCCTAAACTATTAAAATAAGAGCGAACGAAGCACTTATGCAATTCCTTTTAGGTTAAACCTATGAAACACGATATGTCAGAATCCCTAGCTGGGATACATATCTATCAACAAATATATTTTTCGATTTAATAATTTAATTATATTTTATTATAAAGTAAATAAAATATTACTAATATTTTATAAATTATTATCTTTAAACTACATCATTAGCTTGTGTAACTATTATAATATGTATGTTTATTTTGATACTTTCAAACAAAATAATGTTTGATTTTTAGTAATACCAAACACAGTGAATCTTAATTTTCAAGAATTAAAATATGTTAATCAAACAACGCGATTCCAGATCACAAATGATAAAATTATTTTAATGATATAATTATCTTAGTGATTAAATTACCATGATGATTTTAAAAATAATACCAAAGACTCTCCGGACTTTGTGTTCCACCCCCGTAAATTAAAGAACTGAAAAATTTTCAACTTCATTCTTTTTAGGCCCGAGCTAAAGACATAACCCTCTCAAACCCTCAAACTTTTCTTCTCACACTTCTCCAACCTGTAGCTCTTCCTTGATTTTAAAACTTTTTTTCATAAGATGATGACTGAATTGAACTTATCTTGCACATACACCAGCTTTTAAATGAAAAATAAAAAATAAAAGTATCATAAAAAAATCCAGCTGTCTAAACCCTAAACTATTGAAATAAGAGCGAATGATGCACTTGCGCAATTCCTTTTAGGTTAAACCTATGAAACACAATATGTCAGAATCCCTAGCTGGGATACATATCCGACACCCTAGACATGGTTGGATATGGCAGTGAAAGGTCAAAATGCTATAGCTGTCACCAGAAAGAAAGACAGAAGAGAAGAGAAAGAAAAGAACTGTTTGATTTTCCGGTGCTTAGATTAGAGATGAAAACTTGAGTGGAAGGTGATGTTTCAGGGAATGTAACTAGTGGTAACACTGCATTGGTGAAGATGGAAAAATGAGTTTTAAAGTAGGGAAATAAACTACAAAATTGGGCTAGGCCAAGTGGACTTTGATTGAAGGGTTCTAACATTTATTTGATTAAAAATTTCTAAGCCTATAAAGCCATTCCGACCAGATTATATTGAACTATATAGAATACAGGTATAATATGTGGATAATAAGAAAATTATATTAAGAATCTGTGATGACAACAAATTTTCTAAATGAATTTGTAAGATTTAAGACACCTTTTACTGCTTATTGTCAATACTTTTTATTCAACAATAATGAAATTATAAATCATATATGTATAAGTGACTCTTTTATTGTCATATCCAGCCATGTACATATCCTGATTTTTTTAAAAATTGCGTTATCTCTGTGTCTGTACTACATGGAACCCAAATCTATTGTCCTTATCCATTCCTATGGTTAAACCAAGGAGAAGGAAAGGAATATAATTGAAGTACAAAGGAAGTATAAGATAAAAATGCTTGGAAGAAAAGGAAACAACTTTCTCATTCTATTGGATCTTATTAAGCCTTCCACTTCTTTGTTCTCTCTTAACTATCCTATTCAAGATCTAGTGCCCAAAAGCAACCCAAAGAATCAGTGAAATTCAAACTGTACAAAACAAACAATTTCTTCACATTAATAACAGTTCTAACATTCACGGTGTCAATACATCTGCTTCATATCCCATTTCCCCTAATATGGTATTATTCTTTATTAAAAAAAAAAGAAGAAAAAACTGAAAATCTAAGAAAACATAGTACCTCCAAAAAATAAATAGCTTCAATTACTAAATTAAAACATTTCCCTCAATCCAACCAACTTTTTAAACCAGTTATAGCCACTAGGATGCTCAACCACACATTTGTCACCATCAAACAATGCCATTAGCACCCAGCTAACTTCATGTTCATCTAAGCATAAGGAACTACAACTTTAGAGAACCTTCTTTCAATATCGGCAGAGCAATAATGTCAACACTCAGCAGTAATTTATTTCCAACACTCTACAAGTCTACACCCAGTTCAACCAGCAGTAAATAATAGCATTCAAAAAATGTAGTTCAAATAAAAATCAATACACCTACAGTATTCTTCCACTTAGCACCAAGATACAAAAGAGTAAAATTCATCCATAGCTCCTAACCCTTTTAACAAGTTCAATTTTGGTCCATGACCTAGTTGTTCCAATTGAATCATCAACCTTATTAAAATACAACCAATTTGGTTATTCCAAATTTGGACAATAAAATCAACAGAATTTACACCTAGTGCAACACATCAGCACCATCTGGCATTTGAAGAGTCAGAAATGATTATAAATAGGAAAAAGTACTTCTTTACCTATAGAAATGATCTTAAAGCGACAGATACTCACATATTGCTGATCAAATAACCTTCGACATATTAATATGCAGTGAAAATATACAAGCCAAAATATTTGACTACTGAAAAAGTCATATCTATTGCAAAAGGAAGAGTTCTAGAATTTCAAGAAAGTTACAGAATTAGCAATTAGAATGGCTACTTAGTCAGAAGTTTCAGAAAAAGCTTTGACAACAAAATTTCTTTAAAATCTAGCTACCCAGATACCCAGACAAAATCTTTACACCTACATGTACAAAACATACATGTACATTTACATTCATAAAATCATGCAAACACAGTGCAAGCATACAAATTTTATGTTCATGTGTGTATCTATACATGCTCATACAAATGAAGGTGACCTGTGTTAAATACACGTTCTGAGTTTCTTGATTGGAAAGACTCCAACATCCTCAAAGTCCTCTGAAATTTATCCTTGAGCTGCTGAAGAATAGTAGCAAATTCAGCAACCTCAGGTGTTGATGGATGCTGAAGCTGCAGTAGTGAAGCAGATGCATGATAAATTATAAATCATGGTAACAAATCTAATGAAAAATTCAATTTTGAGGGAACTTAAAGATGCAATAATGTAAAAAATCCATAAGCAGGGGAAGAAAAGTACATAGGAAAGTTTATGTTTCTTACCAGGGTTGGCCAGTGAGATCTTTCAAGTAAAAACAGAATTTCTTCAATATGTTCTCTATTTTTCCACATGTTCTCATCCATTTTATGCGGAGGCTCATTGTCAGCTTCTTGTATTAATAAGCCTTCACCTAGAATATCAAAGGAGAGAGAAAATGCCTAAACCACATTACATAATTGTTCCATTGATATTATGTTACTATTAATTCAATCGCTGAATAGAAGAAGAATAATGCATGCTATGATTTTGCACTTTTAACATCAACATTGGTAATTGTAACCCCAAATAGAAACAACAAGTCCTAGTACATTTAGTTTTCTCATTAGTTTTCCTCTGAACAAGAAAATGAAGTTGCAATTTCCAATCCCTAAACCAAGGCAAAATATAGGTATAGTGATGATGATAAAACTAGCTAATAACTGCAAAATAAAAACAAATAAATAAATATTAAACAACCTTGAGTCGGGGGAAAGCCTGGGAGCAAATCCTGGGCGAATGAGCGAATCTGAGAGGAAAGACGAGATACGTCGTCGGAGAGTGGGTCGAATGGGTACTTGTCGTAATAAGAAGCGAGAAACGTCCTTGTTATGGGCACCAGACCCTCCGTTGAAGCCATATTTTAATTTTACTACTAGTATTTCTTTTTTTTTCCACCTCCCTTCTGATAATTGCAAATCCTATTGGCTATGAATCAAGAATCAAAGAAGGCTTAAAAGGGTTGCGGGTTTTGGTTGGATCTAAACGGAAGCTATCTCTTCAGAAAGATTACTACCGATCAGCGGTGGGTGTGTTGACGGGCTGTCAACCCCTTTTTCAATTTTCTTCTTGTCCAAATATTATTGTAAGTGGGATTAGATTTCCTTTATTTTTATTTTTATCTTTAATGTTAAGATATGGTAAATTAAAATCCTTATTTCCCGAAAGAGTGCTTTTAATTTTATTTTTTATCTCATTAAGTGTACTTTAGGTCATGTCATCATCTATATGGACAAAACTTGCCAGATTTACATCTATATTTAATTTAATTTTTTTTTCTCTCTTTTCCTTGGAAATATTTGATCCATCTGCAAATTTTGATGAGATTCATAAGAGAAGTGATCTTTTTTTTAAAAATCTTCTGCCATCGCAAGCGAAGTCAAAGATGTTGTTTCAAGTTGAATTGCATTGTGTGTATGAATTGCAGTAATGTAAATAAAAATTTTGTCAGTTAGTTAGCTCACTATTTTGTTACTGATAAAAAAACAGGTATCTTGAATTGTAAATGGAAGGTTAAGCACTAAAATATGTTAAAAGGAGTTTGTGTGAAATGAAATCATCATAACAACTTTTTTAAAGCTCATTTTTTTTTATTCTCTAAAATTATCTCCATTCTCTCTTTCTTGTTTCACTATTTCTTTCCAAAAGCTTCACTCTTTGGAATTTTACCTTCATTGCCCTGCTTCATTGGCAGCACATTTTTCCTCAGGAAGTTTGTGCTGTTTTTTTTTTTTTTTATGATTTCTTGATATATTCATCAAGTTGGGCTCATCACTTAATTTATGCTTGAAGTCTCGCTTAAGTGGCTTAAGTGATGAGCCAAACTTGATGAATATGATATCTTCAAATACTGTTGTTTGAAATCTTGCTTTTAAATGAGTTGTATGTTAAGTTGTCTAAGTGTGATTTTGGATTTTCTAAAATTGAATATTTGGGGCATGTTATCGGTAGTATAAGGGTTGAAATGGACAACAAGAAGATGGATTGTGCAAAAAATTGGCCAGTGTCTAAGAATATAAAAGAGTTGAGAGGATTTCTGGGCTTAACTAGATATTACTACAGATTTATGAAAGGATATGGTGCAAAGCCTCTTACTGATCTTTTAAAGAAGAATGCTTTTCAATGGCAGGAACCAACTACAGCAGCCTTTGAGACGCTCAAAATGGCCATGATCTCATCTTCTGTCTTAGCCTTACCAGATTTCAACTCTACTTTTGCGGTTGAATCTGATGCCTTTATCTGTGGTATTGGTGCCATTTTTAAAATCATAAAAAAAAATTTAAATTCATAAACTAAATATTATAAATATTTAAATATCTAAATATATAATTTGTTTCAATATACATGTAACACAAAATTTAATACATTAACATTCAAATTGTTTCAGTACATTAATTGAAATTTTAAAATGTATGAAATTGATGATCACTTAGATTTAGAGCATTGCCATTTGATGAACATTTTTCCATCGCAATCACTAGTTTGCTCAAAAATCTATTAAAAAAAGTAAAACAATTTTTTACACTTAATAATAAGCTATTTCTAATATTAAAAAATATAAATAGTTATTAAATATAATACCTAAGTTGGTAGACCACCTAGATTGTTCCTTGAAAATTGTTGCACAAAATTAATAAGAGTGTTGAATTGATTATGCAATTACTTACGCTCTTTATCTATTTTAACACACTCCTTAGCTCTTTCTATTTCCATTTGCTACACATGTTTTTGCCTAGTTTGCAATCTTTTTCTCAATATTGAGATTTCTCATGAAGATTGACTTGTTGAGAATGTAAATTGCTATGAGCTATTTCTATAGTAGCTACATGGTGTTGAACCCAATCCAAAGCGTCGAACTCGTTCACATCTTTCTTTTCTGATAACTTTTGTGAAAATTCAATCTTCTAATTCTTGCATGTTGGCAAAACAATCGAATGCTGCTTCAATCTCAATGGTCATTTTCTCTTTCGCTTTCTCTTGTAAATTAATTAAATAAAACTATAAAGTTTAATAATTAATTCATCATATATTTGAAATAGTAAATATTTACACCTTATATAAAACGAGTCCAAAAAATTATCACAATTTATTGTGTTTCGATATTCAAGTAAAATCCATCTTTTTTATGTGGGTTAATTGAAAAAGTTCTACACGTGCAATTTTTTCACCGAACTCAATCTTCTATATAAAAAACACTATTTTTGTTAAACACGCATTAACCATAACTTATTTATGGGTATCAAGTGTCGCAATTATGATTAGACACATTTAATAAAATGTAATAGGAGCTATCTAAACTATTAAAACAGAACAATAATTATAATTTACATTTTTGCCTTTTAACGTTACAAAAAGTCCTAATCAGACATAAATCGTAACTTATTCATATATAGCAAATGGTGAAAACCAAATTCAATCATTCGAACAAGTTTAATATCATGTATTGAAGCTATCTAAACTATTAAAACATAAATGTAACTGTAAAATTATATTTTTGCCATTTAACAACGTAATAAAGTCCTAAAAAGATATAAACCATAACATTTTCACACATATCAATCGTGAAAACCAAGTTCAATCATTTAGACAAGTTTAATATTATGTATTGAAACTATCTAAACTGTCAAAATAGAATAATAAATACAAATTTGCATTTTGGCCTTTTATCGACATAAAAAAGTGCTAAACAGATATAAGTGGTAACTTTTTCACACATATTATTCATGGAAATCAAGTTCAATCATTCGAAAAAGTTTAATATAATGCATTTAAGCTATCTAAATTGTTAAAGTATAAAAATAATTGCAAAATGACATTTTTACTCTTTAACGGCATAACAAAGTCCTAAAAAGACATAAATGGTAACTTTTTCACACATATCAATCATAAAAATCAAGTTCAATTACCCGGACAAGTTTAATATTATGTACTGAAACTATCTAAACTATTAAAAAAATAATAAACATAAATTTGCATTTTGGCCTTTTAATAGTATAAAAAATCCTAAATAGACATTAATGACAACTTTTTTACACATATCAGCCATGCAAACTAAGTTCAATCATTCAAACAAGTTTAATATTATTTATTGAAGTTATCTAAACTGTTAAAATAGAATAATAAAAGTAAATTTGCATTCTAACCTTTTAACGGCACAAAAAAGTGCTAAATAGACATAAACAATAACTTTTTCACACATCAATCATGGAAAACTAAGTTCAATAATTTAGACAAGTTTAATATCATGTATTTAAGCTATCTAAACTCTTAAACATAAATATAACTGCATATTTATATTTTTGTCCTTTAACTGCACAACGAAGTCTTAAAAAGATATAAACGGTAACTTTTCACATGTATCAACTATGAAAATCAAGTTCAATCATTTGGGCAAGTTTAATATAATGTATTGAAGTTTTTCAAATTGTTAAAACAAAAAAATAACTGCATATTTACATTTTTACCCTTTGATGACACAAAAAGTGTTAAATGGATATAAACGACAACTTTCTTATTTGATATGTCACTTACCTTTTCTTTTTGCTTTCTTACAAAGCTTTTTGATCCACTTGTGTGGCTATTTTTCTGTTACTTTCTGCTAGCAATGCCAACTTTGTCTATTTTCTATCATAAAAAATAATCTCATATATTGCAGAAATACAAATATTACCAAATAAAAACATAAAATACCTTTTTTATTAAAAATAACGTTAAAAGTTATAAATTAGTACCTTTCCTTTCCTTGAGAACCAAAATCTAATTAATTGCTTATATTGCCACCTAATCACACCACAAGGTAGAATATCTATTGTGGCTTCTATAGTACTATTTCGATCAAAATATATTTTTTTTAAATTATGCTTATAGTCTTTTCATTTCTTTCCCAATGACTTAAGCATAAATGAAGTAGGTAGTTCAAGTAAAAATCTTGACTATAACAATACAAAAAGAAAAGTTACAATTTACAGACCAACTTTAAAAGAATTAGTATTTCTAATATGTAATTAATTATACTAATACCTCAACAAAGTTTAAAGCTTTGGCCTTAACTTTTGCTGAAACTTTATGCCATGTTTCATAATGAATAGGCAATTTCATGCCATTACAGGCGATCATTCCTAAAAATCCAGTTAACAATTGATACTCTTCACCAATTAGTTGCTATCAGAGTTTGCAGACACTACAATACGCTCATTCAAAGTTACTGTCCATAATTCCTTCAAAGTTGTCCTACTTCTGGTTTTTCGTTGACCATTGTTATCAACTGCAAAAAATAAAATGTCAATTAATAAATTACCATTACTTTAATGACTATAATCAAAATCTAAATATGGGGTTTATGATACCTGTATTCAAATTAGAAGCAAAATCAATTGGTGGGATACTATCTAAACTTGGACCTTTCATATTGTCAGATCCAATATCAGTAGAAGGATTAGAAACGATTAAGTTAAAATGACAGTAGACACATTTCCCTCCAAATGATTCAGTCAATGGCCAAGATCAATAGGTGTTGTAGATGATTTTGAGCTAATATCTCTGATATGTACTCCCCTTAATCTATTTCTCAACATTGTAACTTAGCTGCATTATAAAAGAAAATCAGTTAAAAATTGAAAAGTTCAAACATTGTATATATAACTAACTATATATAAAGAACATATCTAAAGAACATATATAGACATTGAGAAGTTAAGTAATCATAACCAACGATATATAAAGAACATATTGATTTAATTAAATTAAAAGATAATGTATAATTTACAACACAATAAATATATAAAAGCAAATGCCACATAAATTACATGAAAGGATTTATTACATTATGTTTTGAATATTCTAATTACAAAATATAGATGATCCATCACGATTCATAAATGTTTTCATCAACATCTTTGTGGACTCATTGAGTAAAGGTACTGAGATATTTCTATCCAAGTTTTAGTCAGCAAAAGAAAAATATTCAGTTTCATATTCAACATCATCTCTGGTATCTAATCCCATATCAAATAAGTCTCTAAGTATGTTATGAAGAACAAAAAACCAACCTGATTCTTTGGGATCTTCAAAACAAAAAACTTATTTGACTTGAGAGAAAAAAACATAAGGTTCATTTATAGGTTATTGTCCGATGTGAATTAATCGAGAAAAATTTA